GGAAAGAGACAGTCTTTAATTGTAAGTTTTATAATGTTTTCTAAACTGAGAAAAATCATATTTGTTATAGCATGCACTAGTGCAGTCACATTTTAAATGCATGTACACAAATGTATATATATATATATACAAGAATTTACCAGCATAGAGATTACTGAGGCCATAAAAAAGAATATATTTGTTTGCCCTAACCCTACCTACCCAGAAAATAGCTGCCTACTTAAAATCTTTTATTGTCCTGATGTGAAAAAGTTTTTTTTAATCAGATAGACATGAAGACAACAAACATCCGACACTTCAAAATCTCTTTGTCGAAAAAAAGAAAGAAAATGCCTACCTACCTATACCCACTGTCTCGACCTTTGGGTAGGGTTAGGGCAAACTAAAATATTTTTAAGTGTGGCCTGAAGGTTAATAATCATTATCTGGACTGTTTCCTATAATCTGTCATAAAAAGGATTTAAGGATGACAGATAAGATAAATAAACATGGATTAATTAATTATTAGATTAACATAATTAATTAAGATTGTGTGTCTATCTAAGGCAGGATAGATGCCAAAAAAGAGCAATAAAAATAAAAATGCCAACATTTGAAGAATTTTATTGGGATGCATTCTTGAATGACTTTGGAGTCATTATTATGCTATTAAATGTAACTGGGTATGTATCTTGTGTTTCCTTCACATAAGATAAAATTTCTGGAAAACCCTCCTAACTTTATAAATTATAGAAATAATGGGTGTATCTAAGGCCAATGAAAATTGAATGCTGGTTTCCCTTAAAACAAGAAAATTTTAAAGGGTCGACAGGCAAGATAAACTTTCATTTTATCTTATTTTTTTTGCGAAAAAATTGAACAAGGCACTGTGCAAGCAGTTTCACTCTACAGAGATTTTTTTCTCAAACCACTGACAGGAAATTCTTCAAAAGAAAAACTTGTTTACATTGTATCTTGATATTAATTGTGATATACATTTTGTAGCTTCGTTACAATGTATTAAAACTTAAAGAATGATAAATGAACCATTTTTTAAGAAATTATCAGACTATCATTGATACATGTATCTGTCTCAAAAGAGTCTTGTTCTTTTTTTTTCCATCTGTTTAAAAAAAAAAGATAAGACCAGGAGGGTTTAAACAGAGAAGACAGGGTTAAGGGAAACCAAGAATCTTTTATGCTTGCATTGGCCTGAATACTTACAATGATCAAATGTTACACTGTACTATTAGAATCAGTAGTCAACTTGTATCCTACATGTATAAGAATTTGAATATTGAAAATAGGCTTTAAGGGATTTAGAAAACAAATTGAGATACAAATATATGTTGTAACTTATAAATAGCTCTCTCATTGGAAATCATAACACATCTCCTTATTTTTATATCGTACTTGTACAATAATTTTATGAATTGTAGAAGGTCCAGTAACAACAACACTTTAAGGAAGTATATATGGAAGTAAACTATTAAAATAGAATAAAATGAAATAAAAATACAATGTTTTTGTTGTTAAAATGTTTGTTAAAATTATTCTGCCATCATGTGTTAGCACTCTTGCACAGTGGAGAATTATACACTACATTATTGTCAGTTGTGTTCTGTGTAAACTTTGTGTTCTATTAACGTCTTTATTTCCAAATATAGACAGCATTTTGCAAGTAAAATGTCGTCTATATTTGGAAATAAAGACGTTAATTAACGTCTTTATTTTCAAATATAGACGACATTTTACTAGCAAAATGCAGTCTATATTTGGAAATAATTAACTTTTTATTTCCAAATATAGACGACATTTTACTAGCAAAATGCTGTCTATATTTGGAAATAAAGACGTTAATTGAACACAAAGTTTACACAGAACACAAATGACAATAACGAAGTGTAAATTTCGTTCCACTGTGCAAGAGTACACATGATGGCAGAATAATTTTAACAAACATTTTAACAAGAAAAACATTGTATTTTTATTTTATTTTATTTTATTTTAATAGTTTACTTCCATATATACTGAAGAAGGCTGTGATATTCGAATTTTATCCTGAGCGTTAGCGAGGGATAAAATTAACGAATATCACGGCCCAGGCCATGTGTAAATTTCCAACAAATCTTTGGCCTCCATGAATTATTTCGATTCTGATAGGACAAATACGGTCATTAAAAAACTGAAGCGAGGGTGGGTGTGCCATGTGTGTGGCTGTTCTTTTTTACTCCCTGTTAGATAAAGCTAAAACATTCTAATAAATCTGTAGCTTGCATGAATTATTTCGTAAACAACCGCTAGAAAAAATGTGCTTAATTCTTTTAATTCTCAAAACCAACATTTGCCATTTTTAATTTACATGTTTTTTCTCGTACGCTACCGTCAAATATAAAGTTGACATTTCGTAACTAAGGAGCCGCCATGTTGACTGCTGAAATCAGTTAATACATTTTGTAATATGCGAATAATGCAATAAAATAGAAAATAAAACAACATCTACCTCAAAAATCCATTTTAATGTAATATTATAAGGATTTCGATGCTTCATGTAACGGAAAAACCTTCAGCTTTAGCGTTTTCATTTGTATGACGTCATGTTTTGAAATGACTTAAATGCTCCAAAAGCATTAATGGACTTTCGCAGAATAAGAATAAAAGTTCTGTAGTCTTTTTTCAATTGCAATTTTTAAAACAATAAAATCGGCATAGCGTTTGCAAATAGGTTCCAATACACGGTGGATTTACGAGGGAGGTATATTGTAACATCCATTATTATGTACAATGTATATCTCTGAGTCTGCGCTAAGTATAGATATATCGAGAATTTTATCACTGTGTTGTTTATAAAGCGAAAGAAGCACTCATATTAGAAATGTAATTTTTCAACAGATTTAATGTCATGAATTTTTTGAAAATAATGTTAAATTGAACCATTCAGCTCTCCTTTGAACTTGTTGCATAATACATAATATACATGTACTCTTAATCATTCTAGCTATATGTACACAGCAAACATATGCTTACTATCTTTTGAACATGTACATGTGTACTTTATACATTTTGCAACTACATATTTCTGAAGGCAACATTTGTTATGTTTTCTATCATGAAAAGGGTGTAATGATTAGGTAAAGAGAAGTATGGGCAGTGAACTTTGATAGCTCAAGAAATTTAGACCTAAATGTAAGTCTTTAAAACATGAGGATAATGTGTATACTATTTTTAGTGAGATATACATTTTTAAGATAAGTTTGTTTGTTATTCATGTATCCACAATCATGACAATGGCAAGATTGGTTAAAAAAAGTGGTGAAAATGGAAAAATATAAATGTATGTCATATATATACATGTACAATGTATGTGTGACTTTGTTCTAATCATTTGATCCCCAAAACTAACTGCAATGTGATGGAGATATCCTACATGTACATGATGCATGTACTTTACTCAAACTAACCATATGAGGGTCTGGACTGGGTGTTCTTCACTTCTGTATTCTTTCATTTTTTCTATATTCTTCATAAATTTTGCCCCTATTCTCTATTCTTTAAATTTTAGCACCCAATTATTCTCTTTCCTTTATTTTTTGGCTTATTTTTCCTCTATTCTTTTTTTTCTTTCTCATTTTTCGGAGTTATTAGCCCGCCAATTAGTCTCTATTCTGTAAACCCCATCCAGACCCTCCTATATGTACATTTTGAGAAAACATATACCAGGTAGTCACAGCCTTGTTTATTAAGTAATCTACAGGTGGAAAAAGAATATCTTGTTTATCTAAATTTTTTTTAGATCATTATAAGATTCACAATCTTTCAATTTAAAAAGAAAAATCTTAAACCTTGTACAACATGAGCATTCTCATAGTATATACAGTACATAATGTTTGGTGCATTTTTATATGAACTGAATTATATAACATTTTTATATGTAAGACCATACAAGAAAGTACAATGTATGTGTGTTTCCTCCTTGAGAAAAACATGGTACACAATAGGTTACATAGGGACAAATTCTTTGTTATTCTACAAGTTTACAAAATGTAAGTATTATTTGGAGGCCAGTGTAATTTTGTAGTACATGTAATTCACTACCAAATGTGGCAATCAAAATTTTATAACTTTAATAGGGAAACCTGATGTTACAAAACAAATATTTTTTTGTGGAAGTCTAACATTTGTTTCCAACAAAATTAAATGTCAAAACACTTGATCATATCATTAATCAATGCCAACACCTATATGTACAGTCCATGTTGTCTACTTTATATACATGTATGCATATATCTTTAAATTTAATACATAACTGTTATTAAACTTAAAATAAATCAATCTTTGAATCTTGATTTATGTATAACTTAATTTATGAAGTTTTTTTAACACTGATTTTTTAATAATTGTAATATATATTTAATATGACCATCTAAATGCATTAATTTGCCTGTAGAGTGTACTATTACATGGGATTGCAGTCTTCTTGATTTACAAGCCTACGACCTAGGCTATTAAAATTTTCCTGGAGAGGCCATCTCAACTCAAACACTGATTTTAGGACTTGAATCAAACAGATTTTTGAGAAGACTGACTTCGTGTTGTTGAGATACTATGAAATGGGTGTTTTCCCTGTAACTATTATGTAAATGCATGTTTGATTTTGTTATTAATGTTTTTGAAATATACATGTAATAACATTAGGTTAAAAAAAACAGGATTCTAAAGAAGATCTTAATTGAATTGAATATCTGGAAAGCTGAGGCAGAAGTGTTTAAAACTACAAAATGAACCATATGCAGGCAGAAGTGTTTAAAACTACAAAATGAACCATAGGCAACTACAATTTATGTGTACAAAATGAACATGTAGTTTTAAGTGAACTAAATTTTGTCCAAATTTAAACAGGTTAAAAAACCTTCCAAAATTATTGGATTCTAGTTTATATTTCTTCTTCTTTATCGTTTTCTCCATAACAAATTATTAATAATGACCAGTGTCCTAAAATTTAAATTACAAATGTAACTAACCTGCTTTCGTTTGTATTTCTTTGAAGTATCAAATCTTGACTTCATGTACTGCAATACCTCTTTCACTCGATCACGGTTTTCTTGATCTTTAGCCAACAATAAATAAGATCTCCAATGTGATGAATCGAATCCCCAATGACAAGTTCTGTTTTCAAGCGCTTTATGCGAATGACGAACAAATTCACTTGGTGAAAATGATCCCATACAGTCAACACACTGAATACATTTGGCAACGGGTTCCACATACATTTCAGGACTAAAGATCCCTTTACATTTCCCGAAACATTCATGATATACTTTAAAGCTGTCTCGTGTTGGGGGTTCTGAACATTTAGCAGGTGCCCTATGAAGAAGTGCATTGCACAGTCTTTCAGCGTCAGTTTTTGTAAGAAGTCCACAACTCGGTGCCCCTAATGGAAGAATCCCTGTCATTTTTAATGTATGAAGCTGCTCAGGATTACACCGTGAACAAAAAATATGAAGTTCGTCACACACAGCATTTATTTGCTGTAAACTAAAATCCCTCAGAACTGTATTTAGAATCTGCGGTAAGCACAACCTTTTTTCACCTCCAACTTCAAAACAAGCAATGGTTTCGGTTTCTAACAAAGTATCCGTTTTTTCACTTTTAGTAGCATCCACGGGCGCAAATACTGGAAATTGTTGCACAGGGAAGGGCGGAGGTCCTCTGAGAGGATCAAACTCCAACCCCTTTTCCGGAAGTTTTTTAAGTGCTTTACGGTACTCCTCAATGTCACTTGGTGAAAGAAATCCAGCGGGACCTGGCCCTTGTAAACTCCGCATGGCTGATGTTTGAAAGTTTTTGATAACCCTCTCTACATGAGGGTTAACAACTTGTGATCTAAGATGTTCCATTAAATATTTGTCACATTCGAAATAAAATTCCGTTTAACGTCTCTCTCCGTTACTTAGTTCAAGCAATACACACATACGTCTCACGTCTCCCCACTGTCGGCAGTTGATAACAAACTGAAATACTTGGCTGTTCCGTTAATCAGTCCTACTACTACGATTACGCGATAGTAGTTATAAAGTTCAATAAAGATCGATATCATCAGATACAACTGTAGAGAATAACTTCTTTTGCATAATGTTTAATATCTGCCTATATTATAAGGATAGTCGAAGCTTTTTAATATATACAAAAACAATGGACATTGTTGATTATACATAACACGGTCTGCCGATCCGTTGACTTCCCACTTCAATGACTTGTATGCATATTTATATGCATATCTTGTGCTTTAAACTTGTTTTGCAACCAGATAATTAGAATACAGTATAGTTTTCAATTTATTGATATGTAACGGATCAAATGAATGTTAATTATGAATCATCTAAAGATGAAAAAAGGTGTATTAAAATGGTCATTGATCGTTCGACCGTCTGGCGCTTTGGTAAATTGACATGAAAGTCGTCTCGACTATATGTCCGCGCTGACGTCATACGTCTGCAGAATCAACTATAGTCTGTTTCAAAATTGAGGTTATTGGAAATTCCGCGACTGTTGAATAATCAATGCTACTGATTACTTCTATGGTTAATGGTCTGCTTTATTAAGTTTTCACCAAAAGAAAAGTTTAAGAGTTTTTTTTTCAACAAGTTTGGACTTAATAAGTTTTAAGTGAAATTCAGTAGATCAATAAACCACAATCTGAATAAATAAACCAGAGAAATATAATAAAAAATTATGCATGGTTTTACAAGGGACAATTTTTTCTCTCACTTCAATAAAAAAACAATGTATTTTTTATTTTGTTTAATAACATACAGGAAAAGAAATTAGTTTTGAAACTCACTGTTTAATTTATTTTTTCAGTCTTAATATTCAATGGAAACAATTGCCATTTTTCATTCCCTTGAGCTGAAATGAACATCACCAAGTTTTTTTCATGAACATTGGGAAAACGATAATTATACTGACAGTCATTCTCAAAAGTATATTCCTCTTATAAATATACACGTAACATACGGGTAACTTATAAATCTATTGCACAGGCGCTATGGGAATGGACCCCTCTTTTTTTGTAAATATTTTTTTTTTATTTTAAAAAAAAAATAATGAGGAAAATAAGAATAGGGGGCACCATATATATACCACTCGTATGGATAAGAGAATGAACAGATTGAATAAGTGAAAATTAGTTAAAAAAAATTAAGAACATTAACTCTGAAAAAATGAATCGAAAAATGTATAGAAAAGGTGAGGTCCATTCCCTAAGCGCCTGTGCCGTTGAAGACCGTATGCTAGTGCCCTCTATCTGATGTATTTTGTGATAATTTTTGTTGTTGGGTTGCTGTCTCATTTACGTATAACCCACATCTCTTTTTATTCCTATATTTATAAGATCGTATATTTTACAGATCATATTCGTAATATTGAAAAATGCCTTTTAATTCTGCATTGTGTTTTTGCATCAGATGTGAGAGGTTGTCTCCCTTTCTAAGGATGCGGTAATTTTGTCATGTGTAAACATTTATCTCATTTTGAATTTCTGAATTAAAATACCGTTGCAGCAGATGTTTTTTGTTCCTCTAGAGCTATATCTGTTAACGACATGATGAGACATATTTATGTCTCCCCAGTACGTTTTATTAATGAATAATTTTATACGTTGCCGTTGAAGATAATTTTAAAACATTATTGCACATTTTTGTTTTCGTAAAAATTTGCTTCATACCGACGAAAATAAGTCATTCGGCTTCATATTTTTATTACTAATTGAAGCGCATTTGTTTGTCCTGTGTTCCAATAATTTTTAAATGCTGAAAATTTCCCCCTTAAAAAAACCCTATGAAACAAATGAAGTTGGGAATCATTTACAATATGAACAAATAACAGTAATTATTAAAAATATTTGACAGCACAACGACCACATCATTAACCAACACTGATTCCTGAAAAAATGACTTACAAACATTTATATAAAAAACATACAACACATTGTTCAGGCAACCTGACCTTATGAATACAGACTCAACATTTGGTGGTACGTACGCACATCTATTTTTTTCTTCTTTTTTTTGATAATATGTCGTAAAACTAAAACACACAATAAAAATATATACGATGCAGCTGCCAACAGGATAACAACTAACTTTTTTGTTGTGTAATTTATTTTTTCAAAATGAAAAATGAGAAATTATATATTATACGGTACAAGACACAATGTATAAAATATACTTAACACTTGTCAATTAAATTGATCAAATTGTAGGGATACAAGAAAACATATTAAAATTAATTAAATGCTGCTCCTAACAATTGCGACTTCTAAATAATTTTAACTTTGTGCAGCGGTTAAGAAACATGGCCAGAATCATATAGTGTAAATATCCTATTCCACCATATTTTGTGGACAATATCTTCTTACATTTACATTTGCATATATATAGTATTTAAACAGCAATAAAATATCATTTACTGTTTTATTATTACAAAAAAACCTCAGACTCACCTAAAATAAGTTAATTCTTTTGCACTAACAGGCAAGAAAATGTCCTAATTTCTCATCCATAACCACAAATTTTGTACATTATAACATTCCCAAAAATGTGAAATATTTTTTCTCTGATTTCTGAACAAAAAGTACACAGTTGAGTTTCTTTTAATTTGCATTTTAATGAAAATGAATTACATGGTAGAATCATATGAACAATCTTAAAATGAAAATTTCATTAAAACGAATTTCTGGTTGTCCTAAACAGCATAGAATGAATACTATTTAAATCTTCAATCTGCATATTTAAATCTATTTCCCATTTATTACTGGAAGATAAAGCCAATACTTTATCTTGAACCTTCCAAAAATAATTTATAAATTTTTGTTTACCGGATTTTGATTCTATTTCTAGTTCTACTGACTTGAACAGGGAAATAAATAACCACACGTAATTTAGAAAGCAAAGTTTGCACACTCTACAGTACAGGAAGCTAACTTCGACAGCCACTGGGATGTTGGGTATAGGGAGTAAACAAAGTGGGGATATATGATATAGGAGGTTAAAAAGTGGGATCTTTGAAAAATGACCAAAAAGCGGCATTTGGGAAATAAGCACCCCGTGTCACCCCTCCACTGTGTTGGTTGAATACTGCCAATGAGGGAAACACATTCCTTACAGGTTTATAAAAAATGAATAATCATCATTCGATTTAATCGAACGCACCATGCGCCTCGGCGGTTTTGTTGTACCTAGCGAGCTTGCCTTGGACATTGGTATATTTATACCGCTTCTCCGCTAGGCACGCGGCATTTAGGATAAAGAGACTGGTCAACACGGAGTTAGAAAAAAATACGTCCGGATAGGTTGATTTGTCGGTCTTGTCTGTAAACTATTACTTGTGAACTTCCAGGAACATGTTTTCGTTCTCAATTTGCACTTAATTTCCACTGGACGTTAACCATTCATCATCATCTTCAATCGTAATCGGCAATATTTATGAGGGTCTGGTTGGGGTTTAAATAGAGAGAATAATGGACAAAAAGTGCAAAAATAAAGGTCAAACGAAATAAAAAATAGGCAAAAAGAATAACGAGTCGAAAATAGTTTGCAAAATAACTAAATAATATAGAGAAAAATGATATAGAGAAATATGATATAGAAATTACAGAATAAAGAAACGAAGGACCACCATCCAGGCCCTCATCTAAAATTTATTTCTAAATTTTACTATTATTAATTACTTTATCACGCCGTAGCTTTTTGATGTTGAAAAACGTAAAAAAAAACTTTCCAGAGTTTAAATATATCATTTTTAGTTCTGGTTTTATGAGTCACATGACCTATTGCCATCACGCTGCTTCCGTCGTCGGCGTCATACACTTTTCCAAAATCTTCACTGAATTCACAGTGACACTGGACCAATTTCAACCAATCTTGAACTAAATGATCCTTCGGGTTGCTAGTATAAACTATGTATATTTTGTTCCTACCAATCAACTAACATGCCAGTCATGACAACATAGACTATAAGGGTAAAATGCATTAGTTGAATACAATCTTGAAAACTATATTAGATAGAGAAATCCGGCGACAGTGGCAAAAGTGCTTATAATGTAAAGATCTACAAACATTTCGAACCAAATTTTCAGAAAACTCGTAATTTGAAACCATCAAACGACAATTTTTGACTAATTTCAAGTTTTTGCCTCATATCTCGAAAATTACAATATACAAGTTGAAACTGTTTATAGTAGAAATGATCAGCAATAGAAGATCTACAAAAATGCCAATTTGACCGAAATAATTGAAAGACTCCTTATAAGGATTCAAACTCCCCAGGCAAAGTTGAACTTAGATGAATTTGGCTCTTTGTTAAGGTCCCTATCGAACATATAACTCTTCTTGTGTTTTGTTCTTATACAGCGTTTGCTGTCAAAAGTTTGAGTTTGAGTGTTCCATGCCTTGATGAGGACCAATCCAGAAAAGCGCTTCGGACTGCACGAAATTAAACAAGTGTTATATTTATCAAAGAAGTTATTGCTATTAAATGACGATTTATGACTAATTTTGTGTTTTTGCCTTTTATTTAAAAAATTACTATAGATAGGTAGAATGTTTAAAAGAAAATTATTAGCAATACAAGATCTACAAAAAAATGCCAAATATGACTGAAACCCTTACATGTGTTATTGTCCTTAAATGACGATTTTTAAATAATTTTCGAGTTATTGCCTATTATCTCGAAAACTATAATAGATCGGTAGAAACTGTTAGCAGAATAAATATCAGATATTCAAGATCTACAAAAAAAAAACAAATACAAATTTGCCTGAAACTATTGGATGTCCCTTTATGGGAGTTATAATTGCTCCTCAATGACGATTTTGACTAGTTTTCGTGTGCTTATCTATTATCTCAAAAAGTGTAATAGACAGACTTTCCAAAATGGATGACTCATTATAGGAATTATTACCCTTAAATGACGATTTTTGACAGATTTTCGAGTTAATGCTTATTGTCTCGAAAACTATAATAGAATGGGTTCCGCGGAACCGTGTGTCTCGCCTGCTTGCTGATGTCAGTGTAAAAGTGTTATGTTGACTGTAAAACGTGAGTCCATTTATCAGTGAAATACAGAATTGAAAATAGTAAAAAAGGATAAAACTTTTTTCTTTAGATGCGATTTCTTGATTTTGAAGATTAGCTTCTGCCCGAGTTTCATAACAATCAAGGAAGGTTTAAAAACTTATCATGTCAAAA